GTTCCCATGATGTACCAGGAAAGAAGAGAATGAAAAAAAGGACTGCTCTCACAGAGCTTACATTGTAGTTGTGCTCACCTGAATGTCATTTGGTTAAGGAGTTTGTTTTCTCTCATTCTTAGAAACATTCAGCATTTTTCAGCATTTTCACAATGATGTCCCTGGGTGTGTCTTTTATTGTTTTGGGTCCTTTAATCCCCCTCTGCCTAAACTTTTACCTGTAAGTACTAGCAATTTTCTTATATTACTTTTCTGACAATCCACCCCCCCTCCTTTTTCTCACTGCTTAGAACTTCTACCTGTTAAATAATGAATCTGTTCTTTCTTTGCTATTTTCAAATAGTTTTATTCAATTTATCTTCTAAACTACCCAATTTTGTTTGAAATTGAACAAATATATTCATTTCCAAGACCTCTTTCTTGAGTTTTTAAACATAATTATTCTATTCTCATTTTATTGAGGCAATTTGTCTTCATTTCTGTGAGAATACGAAATACTTTTTTGTTTTAAAAATCTCTTCTGATACAGGAATTAATCTGTTTTGCCTGGAATTATTTTTGTGTGTCTACCTTGGACCTTTTCCTTGTATGCTGCTGGACTTATCCTTTGGAGGTAATTTCTGGATATTTAAGAAAGAGGAAAATGGAAGCGTGAATCCTGTACATGGGACCAGGACTATCTGATGTGCGTACTTTGTTATAGGATGAACAGCAAACAATCAGTCATTACACTGAGAACGTTTTAAAAGCTGGAATGAGGAAGTCTTATAACTAGGTAAAAATACTCACTGTGGCAACTCCTCTAATGTTTTCTTAATTTTTACTTTCAGAAGAAACACCTGTGCATTTCCCCATTCCCATCCCCATCCCCACCCCAACTCCCCGGCTAAATGGGCTCAGGTATCTATGCATACTTAATATATCCTCTAAAATTATTACATGCTAATTACATGAAAGTATTTTCTTAATAAAGAACACTTGTTGCTGCTGTTAAGTGCTGCGGAGTCAGTTCCAACTCATTGTGACCCTGTATAAGGTTTCCAAGAAGTGGCTGGTAGGTTTCTACCATCGACCTTGCAGTTTAAACCGACCCTGTGGTTCAGCGCTTATGCTACAGCACCATACAACACTCCTAGTAGAGCAAAAATTAAGTGTTTGGCTAATAACCAAAAAGTTAGCTGTGTATATATACCCAGCAGTGCCACAGGAGAAAAACCTGCATATCTGCTCCCCTAAAGATTACAGCCTAGAAAACCATACAGGGAAGTTCTACTGTATCACACGGAGTCCTGGTGTGGCGCTATGCGCTAATGCGTCAGACTGCAAAGTTGTTTGAATAGCAAGGTCAGTGATTCAAGCTCACCAGCTACTCCTTGTTTGGGATCGACTAGATGGCACTTAACAACAACAACTCTATATGACACAGGGTTGAGCCAAAATTGACTTGATGGCACCTAACAATTATAACACATTTTTAAAAAAGTGGTGATAACAAAGTTAACAGCCTCGGTAATTTACAAAATATTTTCTTATTTTTGCCAAAATTCTAATTTCCTAGGGTTCTGTGGTGGTGCTGCAGGGTAAGCACTAGATTGCTAACTATAAGGTCAGTGGTTCAAACCCACCAGCTGCTCCTCAAAAACCCTACATAGGATCACTAAGTCAGAACAGACTTGACAACACTTAATAACAACAACATTCTAACTCAAATAAACACATATTATTTCATATTATGTAACAATTCTTCACATTTTAACAAGCATTCCTTAGGATATACAGCAATATAAGATCTAAACTTTCCTAGAAAATAGAAACTTAGACATTTACAAACATTCACTTAAAAAATATTTGCCCCTTAGTCTTTGTAGAAACAGTACAAAAACTGCCTGACAGAAATATCAAAGAAATAAAATAAAAATTCAAACAAAGAGGCAAATAAATGAAAACACATTAAATGAAAAAATAAGACCCCAAAAGAGTAAAAACAGATAAAGCAAAATAATAATTATAACC